GACTCAGACAAATCTTTTTTTTATCTCTTTTTTTTAAAAGTAGAAAACAAATCCAACCGAAAAAAAAAATTCTATATAAATTCATTTTTTGGTTCCAATTTCCCAACATCATTTCCAAGAATTCCAGAGAAAATCAAAGGAAGTAAAAAAAAAAGATAAGAAAAAAGGAAAAAAATGGAGCAATTAACAAAATCAATTCCAATGAAAGAGATTTTAGATGCACCACTCGATGTTATCGGTTTTAAAATTTCAGAGATTTCTCCTCAGAAAATTTTCGGTTACTTTTTGGTGGTTAAAAAATGTTGCAACCCTTTTAATGTGTTGCATGGTGGAGTCTCGGCTCTAGTAGCTGAATCTCTGGCTAGTATGGGCGCCCACGTGGCGTCCGGGTTCGAAAGGGTGGCTGGGGTCCACCTCAGCATCCACCACCTAAGAAGTGCAAATCTTGGTGAAATTGTATATGCTGAGGCTAAACCTCTCAATGTTGGAAAATCAATTCATGTTTGGGAAGTGAATTTGTGGAAAAATGATTCTTTAATTTTAGGGGAAAGAATTTTGATTTCTACATCAAGAGTTACTATCAAGACAAACATGCCTCTACCAAAAAATGTCAAAGATGCTGATGTGATTATCAAGAAGTATGCCAAGTTATAATTAGGTCTCAATAAGAGTCGAGTTCAATCAAGCTTATAGTAGAGTTTATGTTGATTTCAGTGGTATCAAATTTTCATACTAATTTTTAAGAAAATTCCATGTAATTCATCCTTTTATTATAGTAAAAGCAGAGGCGAATTTAGAGCATGTACATTATGTTTGTTCAATTCAAACATAGTATTCGACTCGAGGATTGTACATACTTAACTTATACCAAAAAAAATAATTAAAGTATCTACATTTAATAAGATTCATCGAATTCCTAAAAACTTAAATATTAATTAACAAAAAAAAACTCGAAACTATATATGTAATGAAATTAATTAACAGACCGTAAAGCATAGACAAATTCAAGATATGTGATATTTGTTCAATGCAAAAGGAATTTAAAAGATCATACTTATGATCAAACTCACTCAGCGATTCTAAATTTTGAATTCGACTTTTTAAAAAAAGGAGTTAATATTGCCTAGTGTGTATGGTTAGGTAAGGCTAGAGAAGAAAATAAGAAGTGCAAATAAAATTTAAAAAATTGTTCCAACATTCATAAAATCATTGTATTCCATATTCTAAAAAGTTGACTAATTTAAGTCAAAATAAAACTGTTTTTCCAGAATTTTGACTAGTATTATTTGATTATTTTAGTTTCATACCTCAAAGGTGTGCGAGTTTATTATTTGAATAATCATTAATTATTTATCTTAGTAAAATTCAACATAATTATTAACATACACAATTAACTCTCTTATATCCAATCTACTAACAATTCCTACATAATTATATAGACAAGTTACTAAATAATATACAAATACTTCTCTTATATCCAATCTACTAACAATTACTACATAATTACTATTTTTTTCAATTTGTTATGACGATATTTTTGACTTATTGAAAGTTAACTTTGACTAATTTTCAAAATTGCATTTGATCTATATTTTATTAGCTAGATATTCAAGAACCATAAGTTTGAAAAGTATAAATAATTTGGCGGCTAAACATATTAGATTTTTATCCACTAGATCAAAAATAATTATTAGTGGTATTAATTCTTAATTACTGTTAAATATGTATTTTTAGCGACAATTAACATTTCTTTTAGATGTTCCTATGTGAAAATTCATCAGGATACCACACAACAAATCCATTTCCCTCTTCATTCCATGAAATTACCTTTATTATTATTTTTTCTAATATTATCTTCTTTCTCAGCCTCCGCCTCCATCTCCACCTCCACCTCTAAAAGTTCGTAAGTCTTTAGCAAGAATGGCGCCGGACACTTAGTTCTCGACGGGACGACCGTCGAGTCGTCTTCTGGCGCCATTCCATTTGCTGTTGTTGCCATGGACTATAGAGGATATTATTGGTTTCTTTTCTTTGATGGATAATTTTTGGTGCACATTTTTCTTCTATTTATAATACTCCCTTATATGTCTTAGTTAATTATGTGATGATGTTTAACTGAATATTAATTGTTAAGTCATTTTTAAAAGTTTTTTGGAGTTTTAGGATAACTTGTAGTCGCTATAATCTTTGTCACATTTTCTGTCCTTCGGATTAGCACTTTATGTGCACTAGATAAACCTCCCACCGTGCAATAGCATGCAAACCACACATGGAATGTAAATCACACGAGGCAAGTCATACGCGACAGAATCTACTCAAAAGATATTGAGGGGAAATTGATCCCGGGTCATCCGTGCGGATAACCACCCTCCAAACCAACTGAGTCATCTCGAAGTACATTATATTTTAAAGTTATAAGTTCATATTTTGTTAGTATTTTGTTTTAACTTTTATATTTAAGTTTATATTTTCCATAGTTCAGATGATCTCAATATTAAAATATTGTTTCGCCCTTAAAAGAAAAGTATATCTCATATAAAATAGGATAGAAAAAATATATTGCATCCTCTTAAAAAGTGATACACTTTTTTATCAATTAATATGACTTGTTTTTTTATATATATCAATTAATATGACTTGTTTTTTTCATATAGTTAGTCTAAAAAAGAATGACATTTCTATAGTAAGTACTTTCTCTGTCCATTCTTATTTGTCATGTTGCATTATTTGAAAGTCAATTTGATTATTTTTAAAGTTAAATTAGATTACATTAATTTGATATTTTAAACAAAAAAATTAGATGTTCAAAAACTATATGAAAAGTACTATAAATTGCAAATTTTTGCATATCAATATGATGAAAAATACATATTAAAATGTTAGTAAAAATTCTTATAGTTTGACTCAAAATAGAAACCATAGTGAACGGAGGGAGTAACAAATTAATTTTAAAATATCTATTTTATCGTTAATGAATGATTAATAGCTACACAAATCTCTATTATTTCATTTTAGACCACAAGTTTTAAATTTTTTAAATTTTATAAATTTAAATCGAATTAAACTACCTTACGTTAGAACTAACTTGATAAGAATTCCTTCAGAGTCACAGAATATCGTGAATTTTGGTGGTGGTGCATCACCACTTTTGCCTCAGTTAATTTTTAAAGAAGTTGTTGGCCTTTTAACATAGTCTAGTCTATAATATTCTGTACATGCACTTATCAATCGATAATCAATCGATAAGAAAGTAACGAGTTTAGTTGAATTTGCACATCTAGTGCTTCAAATTAATATATATATATATATATATCAACCCTAGAATCTTAGCATATGTATTTGTTCAATGAACCCAAACCATATTTTATTTGGTCAAATTTTTTAAAAGACAAAAGTATTTGTCTTTTTTTAAGAATTAATAATATTATCCACTCAGGTTTAAACTAAAAATAGTTGGCTAATATATAATAGAACATATGCATAATCCATCCATAATATTTGCATAATCATCTATAATCTATGTTATTTTTATAATAGTAGCATAAATTTGACAACAATATAATTAGTATAGTCTTATAGATGAAGTCTGAAAAGAGTAGAGTATATGCAGATTTTATCTCTACCTTGACAGATAGAGAGGTTGTTTCTGGTAGACCCCTGGCCAATAACATTTCAAATTGATTTGTCAAACACAAATTGCTTCTCTCGAAAATTACTTATAACAACACACCAAAAAAAACTTATCACAACACAACAGACATCAGTATAAAGGAAATTGAATTTCATCTTTGCTTCATAATCAACATTTCTATGAGAAGAAACAGTACATGAAGCTAGTGATTAGAGAAGGCAATTTGCAGTGTAAAATTGCTATGACAATACATACTAAGACTCCAATATATACAACAAAAAATTAAACAAAAAATTGACACTTTGTAAAGAATCTTATGAAGAACTTGAATACTGACCTTTTTTTTTTTGTGGAAACAACAGCTAGAACATTCATCTTTCACAGTTCCTAACCCCGCGATTTGATATACTGAAAACAGGGAAGGAAAATAAAATAATTTGTGCTCACATCAAAATTTTCAATTGAAATTAGGATCTCTATTTCCAGCAATGACTTTTCTATGACGCTTGGATTTCCTCTCTCTCCCACGCTTCGTGGGAATCTTTTTGATTGGAGTGGTTATGACAGTTGACGTTGGAACAAATGGTGAGGTATGCCGGGTTTCAAGAATTACAGGAGGTGGAGGATGAACGAGTATACTTGCACGAGGTGGAGTCAGGCGCCCAAGAATGTCTCTGTGATACCCCTGCAGATGGCAAAAGAAAATGACAGATGATTATTATCTAGCATTTAACAGAGAGTACAGCTCGTTGCGACTGAAATAAGCATTTACATAGTTTGGTATACAGCATGCAGGAAGTACATGGAAAAAAGCTCATCTTGACAAGTAGCTTTTACTATAAATTCATCTAATTCAATAATGTGGAACGGTGATAGCAATTACGTATTGCCTGTTGTTCTACTTGAATCATATCAGGCGCAAGCATTAGCATAAAATGAACTTTTTGCGTGAATCTTCAAGTGATCAAGTGCATGAAGGCTGTTTTGAACTGAAAGTCCAGATGGTAAAAGATATGAAGATCACCTGAATCACAAAGTTACGCCGTTCGCAGTCTAAGAACATATTCACAGTCCAATTTGTCTTTGACATGATCTTATCTCTTACAATGGCAAAGCTTATTTGGTCCCTTGGAGTAAAACGGTCCACTTCATTAAACCAAAGACAAGTAAAGAGATTGGAGATCGGAATGTGCTCCCTTATTATTACACATCCCTCAGGGACATCTGCATATGAATAGTATGTTAAAATGGTTATCAAACTGAAATCGGTGGCTACATTAAGCTGGTGAGAGGGGAATAACAAGAAGAACGTAACAAAGATGAGAAAAAAGATAATCACACACTTACCACTTGTAATAGGAAGTTTAGCCCGGGAATACGGAGCAAGTCCTTCCTTTTTATAGAATTCAACCTGGAAGTCGATGGAAGCATTATCAAACTTCGCAGCTGCCTTATTAGCTTCTGCTTCTACAAAAACATCAAAACGCTTGTAGTGCCTTGATATAGCAAAGCTTGCATTTTTTCTCCACAAGAACCTGTCATTGAAATACTTCAGCAAATCAACTTGTGAAGAACAGTAAAAGCAAATCGCTATCAACAAGCCAACATGCAACATTTCTGAACTTTTATGACCATTAAGCTGAAGGAATTCCCTTACAATAGTTATCACTGATAAATAGGTCAAAGCTGGCCCATTCACACTCTGGGCATTACACACTGTCATACAACAATGAGCTATGTTCATGCACGAGTTACTCATATTTGTAAGGTGTTGTAGATTGAAAAGTTCTTCTTGGAGGACCTCAAATATTTGGTATAAAGGGTCACACTAACAATTCTAAGAGTTCCCAAATATGGGGCAGTAACAACCATCTCCAATAATGTAGACTCCACCGGCATCTATATTCTTCTTTTTCTGTTGACATGTTGCTTAAGCAGGCGAAGGCTACACTAGCAAAACCATTTTTTTTCATAAAAAACATGCAAATGCTACTTCGAATAAGAACCACCCAGTCCGGGCCAGCACAAGATGCTTTATATTCTTCTTATGTCAACTTTGGTTAGACAACTTTAGGGAACACGTCCCAAAACTTGCGGGAAACATGATTCTGTTTTTATTTCTTTCTAAAAAGGAACATAACTTATATCTACTAGAAGGCCATATACACAGATGTATCAGTATCACTTAAGTATAAAGGAGAAACCCGGTGTCTTTAGTCAAGAGACTGAAGCCAACCATAGAAGGGGGAATGGAGGCCAACTATGATTT